AGTCTTGAAAGCTCTCAAAGTTACCCTCTGCTCCCTCTAATACAGTGTTTCTCAACCTTGACAATTTTAAGGCATGTGGACTTCAACTCCCAGAATTCCCATGCTGGCTGTGGAATTCTGGGAGTTGAAGTCCACATGCCTTAAAATTGTCAAGGTTGAGAAACACTGCTCTAATATCACCCAGAATCAAGGTGGGATTGAGACTACACTCCCCCCTTTCCCAGAGCTGTCATTTATTGTCTTTTTTAAAAATCACTTGACAGTTCTGGCATGCCTTCACCATATTATCTCTATATTCTTCTACTCCATCTCCACGGTCTGCCTTTTACAAGCAAGGATGTCCCAGGCGTGTCATCATGTGAAATGACTACAGACTCATTACCCCCACCCAAGCTTAGCGGTTCCCCAAGGTCAACAGACAAATCTTACTGCACAGTTAGATGGAAAAACATCACGGTATTTTCCTCTTGTTGCACAGCAACCAATCCTGAAGAGTATAATGTGGCAGAAAGCAGGAAACTCCCTTCATCCTGGAATTTATTGTTTACTGGACCACCAATGACCCTCTGGGTCATCCTTTTAGAAAAAGATAGTGCAGCGTGATGGAAGGATAATTGTCGTGGCAAATGAACTTTAATAGCACTTACCTAAAGAGATAAGCACAATGACCACAGGTGGCCAAAAAAAGCAGTGAGAGTAGGAGTGATGTCTAATTTCCTGCTGGCTTTCCCATTGACTTTGCTTGTAGGAAGCTGGCAGGACGTGTCATAACATGACCAGGCTGACGGCAGAAGTACTAGAAGGCTGCCGTGGCAGTACACCTGGTCTGAAGGCCAGGTTGAAATTTCAATCCCACAGGAGTAATGGGGTCCCAGATTTTGTATGCATTTTTTAAAGGTATCTTGATTCAAAAATTATTTGACCAGGATGTACCATTTCAGCTGACTGAACATGACAATTAATAGTAGAGTGATTTAGTAGTATATAGATTTAGTAGTGTATAGATAAATCTATAGTATGTACCATAGATTTATATAGTAGTATTATAAATCTATAGTATATAGATTTAGTAGTAGCTCTTTAGAAGGCCAGATCCTGAAGTTGAAACTCAAATACTTTGGCCACCTAATGAGAAGGAAGGACTCACTGGAGAAGGACCTAATGCTGGGAAAGATTGAGGGCAATAGAAGAATGGGATGACAGAGAATGAGGTGGCTGGATGAAGTCACTGAAGCAGTAGGAGTGAGCTTAAATGGACTCCAGAAGTTGGTAAAGGACAGGAAGACCTGGAGGAACGTTGTCCATAGGGTCGCGATGGGTCGGACATAACTTCGCAACTAACAACAACAACAAATATAGGAGGCAGGTCCCAGGGGCAGGGCTTGTGTGGGACTTTCACATGGAAATAATGCCTATCTGACATAAGATACAGAGATCTGCTGTGGTTTCCCATGACTTCTCAGTTTTGGGGTAACCATTATGGTGAACCAAGTATTTTTCCCTGGACCGGGCCTACAATGCAGAATGTGCCAGCTAAGATCTGGGCTTCTAGCTTAGTTAAATTAGATATTTAATTATGAGACAAACTGTTGCTTCCCCCCTCCCCAAAACAATAAACTGCACATATTTTTCTGGCAAGGAAGGAGAATCGAACAGCCAAGTAGATGAGGCAGAATGTATAAGATGGAAGCTTAAAAATGGTGCTGTTGGCAACATTGTATTCCTTCACTAATATTACTTCTGCCTTCTTCTGAATGACCCTTTTCCAAATATTGTATTTTGGCAATATAATTAACTTCCTACACAGTCATTATCAAAATGACTGCATTTAAGACTGGGTAACGTTAGCATTTTTGAATATAACTTCAACATTTCAGCTACACAAATGTTCAGGAAAAGTAGCCCTTACAAATAAGATGTTATTGTAATTGAACACAGGTACACAAGTCGTGAACTGGTTAATTCATTCAGTAAATTCCCTCAAGTTCACCATGACTCCTGGTGACTTCATGGTTACACCCATGTTATTTTCTTAGCAACATTACAGAAGTGGTTTTCTGTTGCCTTTTTTCTGGAATGCTTTTTTAACTTTGCAGTCAGTCCAACAGTTCTGGAATTTCCAAGGAATAAACCATTCTGGCCCTGTTGAGCTTTTCAACATTGGCCAAGATTGGATAGATCATTGTTTCTCAACCTTGACAATTTTAAGGCATGTGGACTTCAACTCCCAGAATTCCACAGCCAGCAATGCTGGCTGTGGAATTCTGGGAGTTGAAGTCCACATGCCTTAAAATTGTCAAGGTTGAGAAACACTGGGATAGATGCTGCTAACCCGAATAGCCTGCCTTCAATATTATAAGGAATTTTCAACTGCAAATATATTAAAATATAATTAAATCAACTGATCCTTAATTGCTACCACAACAGGAATTCATCTGAAAAGAGCAGGTATGGCAGCAGCTGATCAGGCACGAGTACAAGTTTTTCAATTCAGTTATCACAATGTTAAATTTAACATTGCCAAAATTTTCTACAAAAGTCTGAACACTGATGTCTCTAGGAAGACTTAAACTTGCCCTGTGATGCAATGAGGAAAATGGTACAATTAGACCTTGTCATATTTTCATCCATATTTGGACTATTTCAGTGAAAGAATACATGGTTTTTATGCAGAAGACCCCCCTTCTTATCTTTGTTATTTTCAGTTGAATATATCACACATAGGAAATGACAGGAAAGCCTCTATTAGCTCTAGAATAGACTCAACTAGATTAAAGTGACTAAACACCTGGCCTGTATTATAGCTTAATAAAGTCCTAGTACTAATTGGACTAGTTCCCAAGAGAAATTCCAATGAAGCAAGTGACCTGGGAAGCCTGATTCAGCATGTATAACTTAGTGAACAACTTCGTAAACTGGAAGCTGACAGAGTTCTATTTAGAACCCTTATCCAAATAATTTACAAGACAATACAAGTCAGCACAAGTATGTACTGGCAAAGCATGAATTGTCCTAATTAGTTGAACCTCTGATCAAGTTCAAAATCAATAGTTGCAAGAGTTCCGCCTTAGCTGGGATTGTTCTTTCAATATCTTTGCAGTTTGGCACCCAGGGGAAAACAAACCAGACATTTTGATCCACAACTGTATTTGTTAATTTATCATAACTTCCATATTACATTCAATCACATATTGAAGAAGGACAGGTATGTCATTTTCGACCTCCTGGAGCTAAATAGTTTAGTCCAGCAAAAGCCAGCACTGTGGAGATCATTCAAGGACTTATTATTCTTCTAGACTGGTTAACTTTACAACGGCCACTCATTTACTGAATTCCTTTTTCCGAACTTTTGATTTTGGTGCTGTCAAAAAGAAAAAAAAATGAAGTCACTACTATTCAAATCTATAAATGTCTACATGGATTGAAATGCTGATATGAGGTTTTTACCATTTGGATTCTCTTGTCTGTAGAAAGTTTTCAGCATTTCCACAGCTTCTTCAGATCGATAACCGGCTATGCACTAAAGAAATTAAACATGTTGCTCAAAAATGCATCTTAAATGAAGGCACACCATCAGCAGAATGTTCCAGTTAAGACTTCATTATCTTTAAAAAATCAAAAGTGGGAGTAACATAGCTTCTGTTGTTGCTATGCTGGAGTGCTAGAATAAGAACAGCACCTATTAAACATTGTTTACTAGATAGCTTTTAAAGGCAGAGGAATGCATGCATGACTTTTGATTTAAGACAAGAAGAAAGCATAGGACAAAAAAAGTGGGAGGATGATATATATATTTTATCGGAAGAGGTTTTTTTCAGCAGAGCCATATTTCATGGGCATTTGGGGAACAATTGGGAGGAGGCATTTTTACAATCCTTTTTTCTTTCCTTCATTTGACTGGCACAAATTCTTAAAGGAGTCTTTTTAGAGTTCAGGTAACTATGATTGTAAACAAAACTATTTAAGTGGACAGGTAAGTAAGTGCATTTGCTTCTTTCAACCCACCCCAAATGTTGTAGCTCAACAATTCTTGAATTTACGAAACTACACTTATAAATTGGGAAGTATCAATTTTAAGAAACTCTTGGAAACCAGGACATGGAACTATGAAACTGTGGTTAAAGAAATCTCAGAAATACGACCTTAAAACAAATGTGAAAAGATATTCATGGATTGTTGGTTAGTAGGTCCACAGAGAGTTTCTGCCAAAAACTTGTTTTCATCAATTGGTTTTCTCTCTAGTTGTCAAGACCTCTTGACCCAGCACAATAACTTAATGATACTATACCCACAGATTATCCTTAGATAATATTCATTTCTTGAAATATATAGGCACACACACACATACACATAAAACAAGATATTCTCACACACACACATACACATAAAACAAGAAAAGCATATAGTTAAATGAAGGGCTGCTTTCTATAATGTCTGAAGATTTTTAAAATGCAAACATTTCTGCCTGTAATACAACGCACAACTAAAATGTAATCACTAGATGAAATATTAGAAAACATGTTGATTCCTTTTTAAAATCCAATTTTATTTCTACAGTTGCAATTTTGTTTTATCTAAACATAAACAAATAATTTTTCTTTTTCTATTTGATATTTAGACAAAGAAACAATTGTTATACAAAAAGTCTTTTGATTTTCTACCTTTGGACTTAATTCCACTGGTTAGGTGCCTTCACTGAACCTACCTTGATTATCAGCAGTTACTCCAAAGTCTTATTTTTTTTTATTAAACTACAGAAAATATCCCACTCAACCACAAAATGCAGGAGAACATACAGATTCTGTATTAGAGAAAAGCATTCCAGTCAATCATCTCAATTTTAAAAAATGGGTGGCTTAAGTCCTGAAATAATTTGTACATGCTGACTTCCAAAATGTTGATTTGGCCTTCTAGACTAGAGCAAAGTCTTCATTGCTACACCACTTTGATATATTACATTCTTATGAATACATAGAAAGGCACCATAATAAGTTACTCACTTGAAATGGTTCCCCTGTATCTGTTAAGGTAGCAGAAGAGATATTCAGAACTGAGCCACAGCCTCCAAACCGTTCATTTTGGCAACCGTACACAACCAATGGGATTTATGCAGATCAGTTAAGGCATTAACTAGGTTAGATAAGAAGTCATATACAGATACTATATAATATGCAGATACTAACAAATTGACAGTCCAGCTATTTTTAATATGCCAACTTTCCTCCACCATCACCACCACCATCAATACGTGAACTCACAGCTGCCAGTGCTTTAGCTGGTGTTGGCCTTCTTACACATTGAATTCTTCCCAAGGACCTGGGATATTGGACTGTATTGGCATGGTAAATATTCATATCCAAGCAGTGGGGTTTCTTGTAACTGACAGATGGAAATTTTGACAATGCACAGTTTTTCTAAGTGCCGACCAAGATTCTTTGGTATGCCAATAACCACTGTGATCACCACAGCCGGTTTATGCCAATTCTTTATCTTCTATTCTACTATCTCCTGGTATTATCAATTTTCCACATTTTCTTCTTTTCAACCACAGTTAAATCTGGTGTGTTATCAGCCATGACTTTATCAGTTTGTATTTGAAATTCCCACAATACAATATTTTAAGTAGTTCATTTTTGACAACTTTTTCAATTATATGTTTTCACCAATTTTTTATTAACTGTTTTCACATGATTAACCATTTGTGCTGTTATTATTACAGTAGTCCTTCCACTTGATTTTTACTACATCCATCTTCAACTTCTTTTATCCATCCAGCATTTTTATTATAGTCTTTTTGAATTTCACATAGATCTTTCCAAAATTGGATTGTTTTCTTTCTTTTTTTTTTTTGGTATTCCATTTTCAGAATTTCTATTGTCATTTATACTTTATATTATTATTAAATATTTATCATTATTATTTACATTTATATATAGTACTGCTCAATTCCCAATGACCTCAATATACAACATTAAAAGAAAAAAGCAATGTAGTAATAATAATCTTCTTTCATTTACAATACATAGATTCATCCTTTCCATAGACAACTTATTACAAAAATGGTAACTTCCCCAGACAAAATATTTGTCATTTTCCCTGCTTCAACAAAAGATACCTTCCAACCCATAAATAGAGGGCAAAAATATTGCTGAATTTCCTTTCTACACCCCATCATCCAGAACCAGAAATTTAACAAAATGTTTTGGAGAAAAGAAGCTTAAATGAATATATTCCTGCCATAGCAAAATTCCAAAATTTCACATATTGCACAAGCACTTGCCCTGCCTGGTGTGGACTTGACCCGGAATATCACTTTCTTTTCTAGCCTATCCATCTCAATATTTGCTAATAAAAATTCACTGGTTGTATGACTCTGAATACCCAGCTGGAGAACAATAGCATAGAGGACCTTCTTTCCAAGGTCCCTCAAGTTGAGAAACAGAATTCTGTATTAAGGAATAAGTGGCCAACATTTGGAGAAGGATACTCATCATTCGAAGAGCAGCTGCGCACATAATACAGGGCTCAACTGTGACATATAATACTGTGTGGGTAAAAACCTCTTCAGGTTTCTTCTTGTGCTGTTGACACCAGTCCAAGACCTGATCAATTGCTACCATTTCTGCATGGCGAGTAGCCTGTGGGAATAAAGCAAAAAAAAAAAAAAAAAAACCAGAACTGGTGCCACATAAAATGGGTTACTTTGCATATAAAGTATCCTGACTTTTCATAAAAGCCTCAAAACCTGGCTTTGCCAGTTGGCCTGGGGCTCCAACGGAGGAGTGTCATATGCCTGCTTTGTATAGTTTTATCCTTTTTTAACATTGTAAGCCGCCTACAGTTACACTGTGATTAAGATGGGGGGCAAACCAATTTAATAAAATAAATGCAACACACATACAAGGAAAAAGAACTTTGTTTTTAATAGAATTACAAGAACTACAGTTTGGACAAGATGGCCTAGGACAGGTTTCCTCAATCTACTGCCCTCTAGTGTATGGAGATGAGCATTCTCAGTATACAAGGCAGCATGGACAGTGGTTGAGAAAGGTTAGTTTTCTTCATTTCTGTGATTGTATTCTCCATGCTTTTCACGGTTCCCCAAAGCTGAAAACTAATTTGCTTGAGGTAGTCCAGATTCTGTTTGGATTAAGGCAATTAAAACAATTCACTGAATAATTGGAGTGAAATACGTTCTTATGCCTGAGGATGCTTACTGTATTGTATTAAGAGGCAAGGGCAAGATTATAACTCAGTGTCTTTTAGAATTTGCTTTATAAGCAAAATAAAACAAAATAACACAAATGAAACTGACCCTTGTTGGAAATTTGTTACAATTTATTTATTTGCTAGGTTTATATCCTGCCTTTTCACCAGAAGCTCAAGGTGCTGTACACAGCAATCTCTCCTCCAATTATTTCTCACAACAGCATTGTGAGGTAGGTTGAGCTGAGAGACGATAATTGGTTCCAGATCACCCAGGAAGCCTCCAAGGCTGAGGCAAATGCTGGTGTCAATCCAACGCCTTCAAAAGTATACCATGCTGGCTCTTGGACTGACAGAAAGTAATTGGCCAGGTCATTCTGGACACTTTGACGGCTGAGAGTAGACTTCAGCTTGTGCTTCCCCAATCCTAGTCTGTCATCTAGGGCAGGGGTAGGCAACCTTGGTTCTTTTATGACTCATGGACTTCAACTGGCTGGCTCAGGAATTCTGGGAGTTGAAGTCCACGAGTCATAAAAGAGCCAAGGTTGCCTACCCCTGCTCTAGGGGTATATTCCCCTGGCTGACATATAAGTATCTTCATACTATCAAAGCAGCCTGTCAGAATCCAGGCCTCATTACAAAAAAAAGTCATAGTAGAATAGGGCACAATATTTATATTTGTGTAAAGCACCTACACAAATCTAAACAGTTGCAATGGTTACAAATCTTTTTTTATAATGGATTCTCAAAATTTCCATTGTAAAGTAAGGAAGGTCAATGACAAACAATATAGCTGAGATCTTATTTCACTACACTCATGTTATTCTATAGAGTGCCTTTTATTTTTATTTTACTGGAGCAATTTCAAAAGACAATTCCAGAACAGAACAAAAAAAACCTGCAAGAGCCACAGCAATCCAGTGTCAAAATAATAAAAATCATAAAAATAAAAAAAAAGCATGGAGCTGTGTCTCTGCTTTACTGACTTTTCCATCTCAATGTCTGAAACAAGTAAGGACAAAGAGAACAGGAAAAAAAACAGCTGTTTGATCAAAAACAGGATTGGTACAAGCAAAATTTTTCCCCTATCTGCCAGGTATCAACTCTATATTTTGCATTTAACCCTTCCAACAATTAATGCAAGGAAAAAGATTGATCTACCGGAGAGAATAGGAAATGCTCTCATGAGCTTTATACATGTTCATGGATTACATCACCTGTTGGTTTTTTTCCAATTATGGCAGCATTTGGCACTGAAGCCTTTACATGCATGTACTTTCATTTCTTTGCAATATAATCTACATCAGCGATTCCCAACCTTTTCGGGATGGTGGCCTGACAAGGGATGAGGTGGGGAAGAGGGGATAGTTTTGTGTGAGGGGCTTGTGTGCTTGTGTGCATAGCTTCATTTGAGGTTGACAAGACTCTCAAAGCAATTTGTGAAGACAAAAAGCAGCAGTCCTCATATCAACAAAATAAAAAGCAGAACAAGGATAAAAATCAGTAGTAAAATCTATAATTTCCTGCAGCTTTACCTGCAGGGAGAAGCTTAGAAAAAGTTTTGAAAATAATTGTAGTATTTGGGCAGATTCAAGCAGGTTGACCGGAGCCCTGAAGACATTCAGGAAAAAAAGGTGTTTAAACAAGCCACCTTTATGAACTGTGCCTGGCAACTAAGAGTTAGTATACCTTGTATCAATATGATCTGTTTGTATTCATTTAGCAATCTCATTGTTCCATTCTGAATTTCCTATAATTTCCAAATAATCCAAAAGACAGTTCATGTTCAAAACGTTGCCCATTGAACAATTACCCAAAAGTGCATCACTTGGTCAGTGTATCACTTTCTAAGAAGGGTGATTTGTAACACCAATCTAAATATTTTAATAAAACATATAGTTGCAAAATAGGAAGTGTTTTTTTGTTTAGCAAAGCATGCACAATCTAGATATGTAAGGCTCTTCCCTTACTGTTTTTTTAAATAGCTTATATATTTCACGATATGCTTCGTACTATAAATTTATAAGTACAAATTGAAAACAATGGCCAAATTAATTCTTGGATAGATGAAAGTATGCTACTCAATAAAAGGAACCGAACATTAATAGAAAATGTGAAGCAAATAGAATGCATTTAGCTATAATCTACTGTTATAATACCATCCTACAAATTAATTTTAATGTGAATAGTCCTTCAAGAGATTGTGCTTAGCAGGTGCCATAAATCTTATAAAACACTCTAGGGATGCAACTACAATTGCTGCCTGAAAGCTGGCAGAATTCCTGACTTAAAATGCTCTTGATTCTTATTAAGAACTGTTAAAATTTTCCCCTCATAAAATCAGTTAGATAGAATTCATTGTTTTGAATGAATTGCCAGGGACATTGAAGTTTCCATCATCTCCAACTATGCTGAAGACTTCTTAAGGGGCAGGAGTAGAGTTATATTTCATCGTCATAATAAACATAATAAACAAACATGTATTCAGTTGTTCTTATTGTTGTACTTGTTCTCTTCCCCATTCCATGTAGATCAGTGGTTCTCAACCTGTGGGTCGGGACCCCATTTGGGTCGAACGACCATTTCACGGGGGTCGCCAAACAACACAGTCCGCCATTTTTTTCCCCTTTTCCTTAGCTGTGCTACTCCCTTTTATTCTATTGGCTTTTGAAAGCCAATAGAATAGACCCTCTTGAATAGAGTCTAATTCTATTGGCTTTCAAAAGCCAATAGGAATTGTCCAGGCTGTCTCTGCCTTGCTGAGCCCGCCAAAAGTCCCATTCTGCAAACGGTGCTGCACCCAGTTGAGTAGTCCTCGACTTACGACCGGTTGAGTAGTCCTCGACTTACGACCGGTTGGGGGCATTAAAAAGGTTGAGAACCACTGATGTAGATGAATAACTCCAGTAATGACCGAGTGTGTGTACTCTTTGAGGAGATTAGAATCTTCTTGTGCAAACCATGACATGTTTATTTCTGCATTGCACTTTCCAATTTTGGAAAATGTTGGCTACTGGCTGCTGCCACTGAGGTCACATGATCTTCATTTTTAACATTCTGTGACAATTACCCAGAAAGTCTCACAATCCATTGGTCCCTGCCAGATTCCCATAAGGAAATTCAATGGTAAAGTCACTGCAAAGTTGGAAGTCACTCTTGCTTCCACTATTTTTTGCCCACCCTTGGTCATTCTGTTTCTCTGTTTAGGTAAGGAAATAGCTCTGAAATAATGACTCAATAGGTCATGAGTTTCTAATTTATTATGAAATTCTGAAAGTTTAGTTTTTATTGTTTGAACTTTTTAGTTTTGATTTCATTATACATGCAATATATATTAATGTAATATATCCACCAATCTTTCCCAATCTTGCTAAAATAAAGTTGCCATAATCCTCAGCCAATGACTATTCTGTCCGAGGGATTGTGGGAATTAAAATACAATACATTTGAAAATTAGGACACTGTGAACTATTATCACTATATTTTGAAACTTGGTCTTGTCTAGGTAATAGTAACAAAACTAAATGTGGAACAGTTGATAAAAGAAAAATAAAATAATTTGTACATAAAAAAATAGTAATAATTGAAGTTCACTAGCATTCAGAGATCAACACTAAACATTTTCTATTTAAAAAGGTATCATGTCCCTCTTAACTTACAGGTAGACCTCAGAGTACAACAGTAACAGCCAAACTTTGAAGACCAGTCACAAGTCCCCTTCATTCAAGACTATTTTAACTTTTAATAGTCGCTGAACACATAGACATAACCCAAGGCTACTTATAAGAAAAATATAAAATGGTTTTCCAGAAATGGGGAGATGTGTTTATAGAGAACACTGCATTTTTAACCAGAATTTTAGAAAACAGGAACTCAAAACATAAAAATTCCAAAATAGTAATTTGCTATGTGATTCCCAAATTATGCAAGACAGGTTTTAAACATAGCTGAAGTAATGGAATTTCTTTTTTTTTTTTATTGAAATTTTTCAAAAGTTTTACAAATAAAAATCCACCCCCCCCTCCCCAACCACCCCACCCCCCCCCCGACTTCCCAGAACTGAATATAGGATTATTTAACAAATATTTTAAAAATAACATTTGCAATTTATAAAATAATTAATAATAATAATAAAAATCACAGTAATAATATATATAATAATAATATACATAACATAAACTTTAAAATGAATAATATATACTAAAAAAGAAAAAAAAATAAATAAAAAGAGAAGAGAGAGAGAGAAAGAAGAAAGAAGAAAGTAGACGAAGAATAAAGCATATATATATATAAAAAAAAATATATATATGAATAATAATACATAAAAAATGTATATATATAAAAAAGAAAAAGAAGAAAGAAAGAAAGAAAAAACAATCATTACAAATTATAAAAAGGCTAGATAATATTTTTCCATATCCAAATTATGTTG